GTATACAAACTCATGCATGTAAGCCAGAGCAGCAGCCAGTCCTTTGGCAGATCTCCTCTCCCCAACACACAGCTCTGCATTGTGACTTTTATTTTCTTCTCTTTGGATTTACAACACAAGATCCATGCAGTATATTTTCAATCATCCACTCCCTCAACAGGTGACTTTGCCGATTCCTCCCACATCCCAACTATCTGTTTCTCAGATTTTGTTTTACTTTGTTATTTAGTACACCCATGTCTCTTGTTTTTGTCCCAGTATAAGAGCTGTGCTGTGACAGTTTGTAGGATTAACTTTGTTGCGTGATATATTTATAAATTATAATTAAAGGCTTATTGAACGCCAAAACACTGCATATAGTTTTATAATAATAATAATATAAGGCAGGAATAACAACAACAAAAATTTTCATATCACAAAGGGACATCTTCTGGCTTTCAAACAGGGAGTTTTTCATATTAATATTTTGATTACTTTAGTTTTCTCCTCAGACCAGCCGGCCAGGTATCTCCTCCGATTAAACTGTCTCCTGCTTTTACAGGGGATGACAGGAGCTGATGTGATTGGACTTTCACATGCTGATACTGAATTCCTCCTTTTAATAATGTATATATCTTCTTCTCCACATTGTTGTGCCAGGATTGTGCTAGTCTCTCTGCTCTCCAAAAATGAGTTGGTCACACTCACATGCACTGGCAATTGCTGTCATGCTGAATTTGAGGAAACTAGACACCTCAGAGTCCTTGGGTGCAATGCTCCTCTTCAGCTTTTTCAGTCACAAAGAGCTGGACTGTAATAGGGAGAGCAAGACTTCACACTTAACTTCTCTCCATCTCTCTTCCTCACTGTCTCTCAAAGCTGCAGTAGGTAACTTTTATAAAAAATAAAAAAAACTTTTGTCATATTTGCTGAAACTGTCAGTATATCCTGACAGTAGTACATGAGGCAGATAATCTGTGAACGAAATCAGGTTCCTCTGGCTCCTCGTTGTGCTCTTAAAGGCATTTGCAGGAATTCACTGCGCCTGTGTCAAAACAACCAATCAAGAGCCAGGAGGAGTCACATAGCAATTAAAAGACGGTCATTCCCTCCTTTGCCAACAACAGCTTATAGTACAACACATGTGTGATCACGTCCCGGCTTCACACTGAGCTTCAGGCTCCTTATGCTCGATGTCATGGTGGAAAAGAGGCATGATGACAAACAGTGGGGAGTAACTTTTGAGGGGGTGACAGTGGTGTACTAGCCTCTTATCCCGCTGTTAGACGGCGTCGCAGCTGCCTCTGAAACTGGGGGCACGCTGCCCTGGGTTTGACGAGTACTGGAGGAGCGTCTTTGAGAAGACGAGTCATGGCAAGAGAGACTGGGGTCCTGGCGAGACTCTTGTCTTGCAGAGCGAGACGTACGATGGATGAGGTTTTGCAGGGCAGCGGGCTCCTTCTGCTGCCGTACGAACTTGTGGGTTTGGTGGGAGGGGCTGAGCAGAGTGGCATGAGCAGCCGAGACGCAGGAGGTTCAACACTGTGTGTTAAATTTTTGCCAACTGCAGCTTTAACCTGCCTTTCTCAAACTCCTGCACTTAACCTTTCCCTTAACCTGTCTCTTTTAACACATCTCACCATCTCTATTAGCCTTGTTCTCACTGAAACTCTTCTCATCACATAATCGTTGAAAGAGAGAGAGGCCTTTCTGGAGTCGATGCCACGGCAGCAGAAGTAGGCATTTGGTTTCTGTCCTCTGGGCTTTTCTGTCTGTCTCATTCTATCTATTTCCCTGTCTCTTACTGGGCGCCTTCTGAAATCAGCTTTTCAAAAAAAATCTTTTTTTTGTTCCGTCAACTGGAGACAGACGTTTGGTCTTCATCGCCCTGTTTTCTCCTCACGTACACCAGCATCATTGTCTGTCTCCTTTGCCTTATGTCTGTTTCACCTTCCCAGCATCTTCTTTCCATCAAACGCACAACTGTTCTCTCTTTACCTCAGGGTTCTTCTGTTTTATTCAATTATTTCCTGACTGGTTTCATCGCCTCTTCCTTAGTAGTCCTTTCCTGTCACTCTCCTCTTACTCTTTTGGTCCACTATTTCTATAGTGTTTAATTTAGTAAGTTTGACGGTATTGACAGTACTGTCATTTGCTGGTGGAAATTGTGAGAAAAACTTTACACTCTACTATTTTATAGTTCACTAACTAATAACTGGATGTATTGTATTGTTCAGCCAAATCTCATAATCATAATTTTCTTAACCAAAAAATCTGATTCAAGCTTCTCAATTGTGAACTTTTGCTGTATTCCTTAGTCCTCTATGATAGGGAATGGAATATTTTTCAGCCAAAACAAGCAATTTCAATAAGTCAGCCTGGGCCATTAGCATAGCTTAGCATAAAGACCGGAAACAGCCGTTTTGGCTAGTTACCTGCCGGGGGTGGAAAAGGTTACTGGTTTTCACCTGTAGTGCCTGTTGTGTTTTTGTGGGGTGGTGATAATGTTAGCCTGGACAAAAGTAGTTAATTTTTGGATACTGATATTTCTGCAAATGTCAACATGTTATGAGCTGAACACAATCTCAGACACTCTTAAAGGACAATCAGAACACATGCAGCCCCTTTTCATTATTTACCTCTGCCTTTCATAGACAATCACACACACACACGTGCGCTCCTCTCACCTGCCCACGCATTTGGCCCTGCCGATCTTCCACTAGTATTGTTGTCAGTTACAAGCCAGACCCTGGGGGAGACCAAGAGGGGAGATGATAAAAGATTTCAAGGTTAGGGTAAGGGAACAGCAATCAACAAATTAAAATAAAACACTAATGGTCAGTTTTGCAGATTTTGGAAATAAGGCCGTGCCAGTACTCACAGACTCTGAGCTAAGGTGTTCTGCAATACCAGCATCAGCAGGTCCACTTGGGGCTTTCCACTTTACTGGACAACACATGCGATGCAGGACGCGAAAGCTGTCTCCAGCATCAAATACCTGTGAGCTGTGAGCGTAAATGTAGAAATCATGGTTGCAATAAGACCCATAAATTGTTAATAAAGAGGCACCAAAGTATAGATGTTTGTACCATAAATCCATTTTAAAATGAAGAAACTGTAATGATACAGATTCTTCAAATAATACAAAGGATATTTCAGTTAAAGTCGTTCTTTTTCCCGTGTCTATGTTCACACTTTAGCCATTTCCTTCCTCCTACTCCCTTCTCTTATTCTGGGATAAATATATGCAGGGCAAACATCTCTCATCTTTTTCAGTCAATTTGTTTCTCTCTCCTCTCTAATTTACCCCCATTCTTTACTCTTTCTGCTTCCCTCTCTATTTCTCTGTCTCTGTGGGGGATAGTTAGTGTGATGCAGCTCCTCTGCAGCCACATCACAAGATGAAGCAACAGCCAGTGTGGTTTTACTCCAGGGAGAGGGGTACACGTGTCTGTGTGTGTGAGGGGGAGAGTGAAAGGCATATTTTTTGTTGGTCAAATCAAAGGGTCTGTGTATCCTCAGAAGTGAGAATGGACAAGGAGACTGCGTTTCTTCACATGTGCATACATACTGTATAAAAGGATTGTGTATGTGTGTTGAACAAACGTGTGTCTGTGTATTAGTAAGTGAGAAAAAAATCTTGTGTGTCTGCTCTTGTGTAAAGAATATTTGGTGTGTGTGTGCCTCATTTCATTGGTCTACCACTTTTCAAAAGTGACAGTGAGAAAGCTTGATACTGAATGTGCGACAGAGGGTGAGAGAAACAGAAAGAAAGACACGAGAAGGAGAGTGTGAGAGAGGGAGAGAGAGTGCTGACACGTTGGTTGGACAAGTGCCATTTCTTTTTTCAGGAGGTCGTTTAGGAGCTCATCTGCTAAATGGCCGCTTCGATTCTTCAGCTCCAGCCGTCTCGTAATTATTATTATTGTCACGGCTAAAGCTCAGACATAATAGCTTGTAGCCTCGGCTGCTAAATGACTTAACAGAGGTGAGAACATTTCCTGGTACGACCCCCCCCCCCCCCCCCCCCGATCCCATCTTCACCTCTATATTGCTCCTCTTCTAAAGCCACACTAAGCTAAATCTGAAAATGCTGTTTGTGTGTGAAATGAGTCCACACTACAGTTTTTACTCAGTTTTGCAAAGATCTCGATCCATACTGAAAATCCGTAAACAACAAAAGAAGGCTAAATCTATTTTCTGTCTTGTTTTGTTTAGTAAACATCAAAACTGTGCATTACAGTCCATATCTGGCAAGGAGTGGCACAGACATACTGGATTTTGTTCTGCATTAATTTCTATGAGGAACTGAATGAGTCCGATTTGCTTCCACTTTGAACTGACTTATGAGTGCTGTTGTACGCCCATAAGCCATGATAGCTACCACAATTTGCTTACAGCCCTGCCCACATGATTTCCTGTATTGCCTTTTTTTGTCTCAGCACATGAGTGACTGCGCCTGGCGAATACCATTCTGACCAAATCATCTCTCTTCTGAGTCTCAGCTGGTGATCCTCCATTCTGTCCCCTTCTGCTCTCTGTGATGACCTACTGTGTATTTCTTCCCTTGTGCATATGTGATGGAAGCCAGCGAGGCTGTGCAGCGAGTAAACCCCTCTCCCTGACACCTTAAGAGATGCACTGGCAACAGACACCAGAGACTGTGGGTTTCAGCCTCCTCGTCAGGGTGTCCGCCTCCCGTATTCAAGGATGCCAGTTCAGGACCGTGCAGTACTCGTTCTCATGGAGGCCGGTTATGCATATACATTTTTTCTCTCAGCTATTCCTTTACATTTCTTTGTCCCTTCCCTTGTCTTTGTCCTCGTCAGTCGACCATGACCTCGTCTAATGTTATTCCCTGACCTTATCATCTCCTTTTCCACCATCACGATTTAGTTGTTCTCATTTATATTCATATTGTGTTTTTTCTGTGTCATTTCCAGACAACTGAACAAGCATAAAATAAGAGTCTGATCTGAGCTTTGCTTTCTGAATTCACACTGAGAATTTAGATTCATCCACTTTAGGGACAGTTTTTGAATTTATTTGGGGGGGGTTAGAAAAATACCAGCTAAGTTGGCATTCAGCCCCAAAACAAAGACAAGATGTTTATTAAAAGGGGAGCAGGGTATGGAGATGGTGTGAGCTCAGAGTATTGCTGGTGAAGCACAGAGGGTGGCAGGTAGTGGCTGGAGTGATTGGGGCTGGCACGATAGTTGATGTGGCTGGCTGGTGTAGCACCGGAGTGGCTGAGTCGTAACGAGCGGGCAGGTGGAAGAGTGTGGTCCTGGATGACAAGAGAGGAGATATTAGTCACAGGATACCTAGAGCAGGAAATTCACAAACACAAACAAGAGATTTCACTAGAGCCACCTGACAGGTACTAACAAGGTGGCTGACTGAACAATCCGGCAATAAGTGATTAGAGAACCAGGATAGATATACACCAGCTGATGGACTTGATGCCAGGAGTTAGAGTGCCTCAAACAACATAGACACATATAACACAGAGAGACCTACCAGACAAACCCAAGGGGAACAAACTCAAAGAGATCGAGGAGTCACAGCCGTGAAAGTGACAAAAGTCCCAGACACCAAAGATCTGCACAGAGGAAGGATTTTACAATTATGAAAGTTATCACTTTGAAGATGGTTTTATCTTTATTCATTTTACCAGGTAAACTTTGACATTCATGTTACAAAGTTAATTTACAGGTAATGTGCATTTGATTGGCCAACACAGTGCCTTGTCGGACGTTGCATTTTATTGAACCTGTTTGCCTTACAACCTCAGTAAAATGAATGAGGGGGCTACATTTTTTCACATATCTAAACTTAGTGTGGATGGAGGGCTAAAACAGAAAGGAAAGCTGCACAGTAGGATTTATCTGTCTTAGCCTGCATGCACACTTCATCCCTCAGTAAGGGGCCAATCAAATGAGGCCTGACCAGACAAGCCAAGATCCAATGTATAGCTGAAGCGAAAAATTCTGGTGAGAGAGAGTCACACACTCGCTGTGAGACTGGAGAGCCTTGCTGTTCTGACCAGCCTTCACACCACAGGAGGTGTACTCAGGATCTCATACTCATACTCTATACCCACGTGCACAATCTCACACACTCCGCCACATAGCCATACACTTCACCTTTTCACAAACACACACACAGTTCACTTCAAACACCTGCAGTCTCACTAATGCACCTCTCAGATGTAGACTCCCCTTCCCCTGTGTCACCACCCCTGGTGATGCCCAGTCTTGTTATCTCTCTATGTACCTCACTCACCCTATCTTCTCCCTCCTCCCACTCCTTTTCCAGCACTCCTCAGAGACTGGAGCACTCGTTTGATGGCACAGTGTGGGACCAACCGCACCGAAGCACCGGGGCTCATACCAATGAAGCCGGCCTATCTAGGCCACAGTAAGCACACACTCTAATCAAGTGCTCCCTAATTAGAATTCACTGATACGGTAGGTTTCCAGGCGAGAGGAGAGAGGAGCTCGAAGGAAAGCCTTCTATAGATAGTAATAAAAGAATGTCTAATTAAGGTCTCATTCTTCTTTGAGTCTGATTGCATTGCGTCCTCCTCTCCCCCTCATTCTCTCCAATTATGAAACCCGTGTTGGCCTTTCTTTGGTCCATGTGGGCTGGGGGTTTTATCTTGCCAGAAATGGGGTGTGAGGAGACTGACAACAATACTAGTGGAAGATCGGCAGGGCCAAATGCGTGGGCAGGTGAGAGGAGCGCACGTGTGTGTGTGTGATTGTCTATGAAAGGCAGAGGTAAATAATGAAAAGGGGCTGCATGTGTTCTGATTGTCCTTTAAGAGTGTCTTAGATTGTGTTCAGCTCATAACATGTTGACATTTGCAGAAATATCAGTATCCAAAAATTAACTACTTTTGTCCAGGCTAACATTATCACCACCCCACAAAAACACAACAGGCACTACAGGTGAAAACCAGTAACCTTTTCCACCCCCGGCAGGTAACTAGCCAAAAGCTTTGCAGCTAGCAACCATCAGACACCACAAAAATAACTGTTGCAAGAAGCCAACGCTGCAAAACAATAATTGAACACAACTACCAACTACAAACACCAAGAGCAACACCACAAATAATGCAACCACCATTTATTTTATTTCATTTTTAACCTTTATTTAATCAGGTAAGCCAATTGAGAACAGATTAGCATTTATAACAGCGATCTGGTCAAGACAGATAAAGCTGTGCAGTATAACGTGGTTTCACATAAAATACAAATTCAAATACAATGTAGGATAAACAGGTCAGAAGTTAATTAAATTAATTATACAGTGACACTGATACTATAGCAAAGAGCACTCCTATAAATTGATGTAAAAATCATGTCTGTTCACTTTGATCAAGTCATTATAAGTTTAATTTCTGAGCAAATGACATTCAGGCGAATACAGTATGTGCAATAAGGCTTGCGCCCAACTAGGTGGAGCACAGGACTCACAGACAAAGGGTTGCATGTTTGATCCCAACTTACAAACAATTTATTTCTTCCATTTTATCTTTTTTATAATCCTCTTCAACAAAGTTCTTATGAATACACTGTTTCATATGTTCCCAATAAAGCATGCCCTAACCCTAAACCTGAATGCCTTCATAACAATTTTGCTGAAGTGGATGATAAAAAACACACAAAGAAGAGTTGTATACACAGTCCTTGGATTACAAGTCCTGTGCTCTTCCAACTGCGCTAAACAGTGACACTGGAAAGTTTTCTGAAATTATCATTAAAAAATGCACCTGCCAACCCCTGTATTCTGCTATCGTTTGTTATCTCGAGATCTCAAGAGAATTATCCAATTATCACGGGAAAACGGAGTAAAAAAAGATTTGAATGGATGGCCGCTTAGGGCTTCTGTAGCAAATATATTAAAATAGAGAATATGTTTAAAAAATGACACATGCAATTAATATCACAGACAGAAGTTCCTTAAAAGCTGAGAGGGGAACATGAGTCTCGAGTTTCAGGTTTTTTTTTGTAATTGATTCCAGTCATTGGAAACACCAATAACCAGTAACACCATCAAGTTTTCAGCAACACCTTAGCAACAGCCTGCATCAGTCAAGCACTGTTAACTGCCCATGCGAAAGTGCGCTGTCAAGACTACAAAGTCTAATAATAATTATAATTTTACATTAAACGTTAAAAGTCTTGTCTTATACGAAAAGATGGATGTAAACTTCACTTCAAAGTCTTTTATCACAGAGATATGACAGAATCAACATTTGAAAGTCAAAAAAAGGTTCAACCTAGTTGTAATAAAGTGAAATGATTTGTTTTTTGACGGTCATGCCAAGCTTACTGAATTTAGTGCCCTGTCAGTTTTAATCAAATTATTCAGAGAAGAAGCGGGACCAATGCAAAGTTTTTTGTTGGTGGAAACCACCCAAATGGTAAAGTACTGCAAATTATCACAACCCACCCAAAATATTTTACCTGCCTTATTAAATAAGAAGTAGCCCAATTGTGTGGAAAAATCACACATTTTGACAGTTACACATTCAGCAGCAACCTAATCTAAATCTAAAACCACCTAATTTCAGCTGAATCCACCCCATAGACAGATTAATCAAATTCTTCACACTTCATGTTTTCAATCACTTTCATTCACTGTGTTATTTGCCTGCAGTTGGTGAAAGTAGTAGCCACTCTCATTGTTAGTCTCCTGTCATATAGTTGCAATCGAATTGGTCCACCCACTGTTGAACATCCAAATTGTTGTCAATTGATCGTGCACACTTGGACAAGTGAGGCAAGCCAGGCAGCAGTCAATCAATAAACAGGGCAATGTGATACGTGTCACTCAAACTTTGATTCATTAGAAGTACTATAATAATTATCATTCAACTATTTGTGGTTTAACCAACAATCAAAAGACATTTCCTTAATTTTGACAGTCAGTAGCTTTATTCATCATTTAAATGAAGGTTATTGAGTTCAATCAGGGACACTACATTCAGTTCTTCCTCCTCTACCTTTTTATCCATTACTCCCTGGAGCCATGCTTCCCCCTATTATTTTAAAGTTCAAGTGGGAACTCTCACCTGGCTCTCAGCATCCAGTCAAGTAAGCCTAAAATTACTATCTGTTATCTCTTGCTCAGAATGCAATCACTAACAAGCATGCCCAATTAGCTGCACCTGTGGCATGCAGTGTCCAACTCCCATACTAATGCCTAGACCCAGCAAGTGCAATAGGTAATGACTAAACGTAACATATATTTCCATAACTAAAGATGGAGTCTACTCTAAACATTGTGGCGACTTCACAAAGAATGGATTGTGGTCGTTGACGGCACCATCAATTTTGCATCACTTGCAACCTCGATCTGCCCCATCTCAAGGTCTGATTCACAAAACATATTGTGCTAATTATATCACAGCGCAGACACTCCCATAAAGTTTTGCAGCTGAGTGTTTGTTGGAGGTCTGTTAAATGTTCATCTGCAATTTTCCCTAGTGGTCCCTGTAGTATTTGTTCACAAGGTTTACTGAAGTAGCATATTATACAACATGATTAAGGAACGTCTAAGTCAAACAGCTGCAAGAACAAAACTTTCAACTCATATCTTAAAATGTTTGATCTGAAAGAGGACTTATTCTAATTGTAATTAAAAATATTCTAATGATCTATTAACTTCCCCCTGCTCTTTCATTATTTGTGGCTCTTATTTTGTCTCTCTGTATCACTCACTCTGTATTGACTGTTTTGTCGGAGTGATTGTTGGATGCTTTACCTGTACGCTGCCCTCGTGCCTCTGGGTGCATGGTGAGCTGTTTTCTCTCCTCTGCCCTGTGCTGGACTGCTACAGTGCACAATCATCATCTCCATTTCTCACAGCAGTAGGTTTTATGTTGTTTTCCAGTTTCGTTCTGTTGGGATGAATATCAGGTATTGGTACTGTGTGTGCCATCTGTGCGTATATGATGTGATGCGCTACTGCTTCGCCTGGCTATGATCACTGCTACCATGTTCACTGGAAATTCTGGGTGTGACACCCCTTAAAAATGTGCTTCAGTTACCACCACCTTTCTGAAATTGGACTTTTTTGCAATGAGGCTTTTGCATAGAAAGGGCCACATTTTGTGCAAAATGTGTGCATATTACTTAATTTAATTCAATTTCAATTTAATGTACAGCGTACTGTAAAACATTAACTTTACTATTTGATGCACTGTACCAGATTATAGCTTCAAGCTAATTTGCATCTGCAGTCCCTTGGCAGGTCATAGTGAAAAACAACACAATAAATATAGCTGCAAGCGGCAATGATCGTAGATTATAGTAAAGAAAGAATTTGGACTTATATATAATTGTGGAAACGCAAACTTGATTTTTACAGCATTACCTTGAGATCAGAGAGTGTCATTATATATACCTGACTACTGGGTGAAATGTTCAACCCACCTGCAACATTTTGTGTTTCCAAGATTTAAAGTTTAAGCTGCACAAACACTTTTAAGCAGAAAAAAATAAGAAGAAAGTGTCACAGGATCCAAATAAAATAGGAATCTTAAACTAATTATGATCTGGACACCCCGATTGTCAGCAAGTCTGACTTGGTCACTTGGGAGTTTGAGTCCTGGAACTTCAAATCTCCAGAGTAGGTGACTTACTGACTGAGCTAATGGAGCCCGTTTTCATCTGGAGCGTCCCGTACAGACCAGAAGTGCTAGCTAGCTAGCTAGCTACGTTCGTGATAAAGGTGTTGACAGCCCCCCGAAGCCCCTACCCTTACCACAACCATCAGAAATGTTAGTACCTAAACCCAAGTCACTGAATTTATGCATGTCGACTGGCTAACCCTACAGCTGCGCACATCGGCCTTATGGCTCCCTTGTGTTGCTGCAATGTAGCTTTCATATGGACGCTGAAGGGTACCTTTAGCGTAAAATCCTTACGCTTTGTCACGCTGTCTGAAAGTGTCAGTTATGACGCATTGAGATGAGAATGTGTTGGCTAATGGTGAGAGGCTTTTTCCACACACCTTCTCACAAACTGAGAAAGTGACGTCACATGTGCCACACCCGGATAGTTTTGTCAGTTTAAATTTTAAACACTTACAACAGTCAAAATGTTGGTGAGAAAATTCTGAAAAAAGTCATGCCGGTTTGGGGTGTGTTGTTAATTATTTTGGTGGCATTTGATCCAAAACTGAGTAAAAAAGAAAATGTAGTTTGTACTGTACACGTTACAGTAAGATACTGAATCTCACTGCAGACTCACCGTTTGGCCGATCTGAAAACCCTTTGAAACACTTGATATCGGCCATCTGGGGAACGACTCTGTCATGTTTGGTAGTGTTTGAAGAAAGACTTGTGGAGATATAGATGTTAATTGAATAAGCATATTCTGAAAAATGTAGAGTGACTGACTTCTGAGTTGACCATAGGTTGCAGTGAGGCAAACATTTGTCACATGTCAGTGGATGTGCTGAAAAAAATTCAGCTCTCTAGGACGTACGGATGATTTTCTTAGATTTTTTGAAGTTAGGAATGAGAAATGTCTGTAAATTTACATTTCGTGTAATAAACCACGCCCACTTGGCGCAATCATTACCAAATTTTATGCATCATCTGAGTAGTGACCCTCGATCATACATAGCGAATTACGTGATATAAACTTTTTGCAAGTGTAGTGACCCCCTAGTGGAAGAATATCCCAGGACTGCTCAGCGAAGCTCGGGCTGAGCATCTGACCTGATGCGTCAAGTTTGGTTACAATAGCTTAAGCCAATTTTGATTTATGGGCATTTATGTAAAATTGTACGTAAATACACAAAAGTAAAAATTTATTTAAAAAAAACCAGATTGACATATAAAAATTCTTTTGATAACTTTTGATCAGTGACGTCCGTAGATGATCCTGACAAAGTTTCAGGTCGACTGGTGAAACCGTCTTGAGACGTGTTGGCAAAAATAGGTTTTTGAGAAAAGTGATAATAAGTTGTACAATTTGACATTTTAGAGCAGAAGACCATTGCAGCAAAGATGCAGATGAATCCAGAGATTAACATAATGAAAGAAGTTCGACTCTAAACGAAGCCGTTTTCGAGATAATTGCAAAAACAAAACAAAAAAAGTTGATTGTTATAGCGCCACCATGAGGTCTATGAGGGCCATTTTTTTTTTGCCTGAGCAGTGGGTGGAATTTGCAACCTACGTGCCAATTTTGGTGAGTTTTCGTCCTGCAGTTTTTGCTGCCCAAACAGCAAGAAAAAGAAGAAAGAAAGAAAGAAAGAAAGGAGAAGAATCAGCACAAAAACAATAGGGCTCCAGCAGCTTCACTGCTTGGATGCCTAGTAAATGTACTTAGTCTGACCAGGTCAAGATCAGAACATCGTTAAATAGCATCCCAGTCATATCGCGAGCATAATACGAGTAAATAGCACCAGAGCACTAGACACTATTTGCTTGGCAGTGCAGTAACGGGCATTTCACCCCTCACGGATTCTTTAAGAATTACAGTTTGTTTTTGTCTTATTTGTGCATCTGCTTCATGTTTACACCGGCGCCAGCGTTTTCAGTCGTTTTGATATAGACGGAGATCAACTCTAAAACACATCGCTCTATGATTATAAATACAGCTTTGGTACCTAACTGCATCATAAAAAGTCAACACCCAATCTACATCTTTCTGACTGAGATGTTACTCTCTTTTTATAGTTTTAGGAAAGGCGTGTTCATGGTCACAAATTCAGAGCTGAACTAAGAACATAGGAATAACATTTAAATGAATTTATTTGAATGAAGGGTGGCTTTGCGCTATAAATTCAGCAGTTCTTATCTGCATAAGGAGCTTTATTTCCTTAGTAATCATTCTATTAATACGTGATTACACTGTATCCCCTGGAGTTTTCATTGTAAAAAGGCTGATAGTCTTTTAATTAGACCTAAAGGGGATTGGAGCAGTGCTTTTACATATTCCACTAGTGCAATGAATTATACAACACTGCTGTATGGACTCACATTACGTAACCACGTGCTAATTATTCAGGTCTTTATCTGAGCTGTGAATTCACAGCCTTGGCTTTCTCACATAATATCAGGGGCAAAAAACAAGAGTGTACCTCTGGCCACAGCAAGAATACACAAGTGCTCTCCACTTGACAGGCTCATCACACGCCACTATAGTCGATATACCGGGTCCCTGTAAACCAGCGGGTCATCTGCAGTAGAAGGTTTCTGTCATGAATTCTGGCCCCATGTTTATTTTATTTTAATCTGTAGGTATATTCTTTCTGTTTCTAGCACTGTTGTCAGGCTTTGGCACAGACGATGCTGGAGCAGTGCTGTTGTCCTGGTAACAAACCCTAATGACAAGATTTGAAATGATCCTCAGATTTAGAACAAAGCTGCAGTCTGCTGCTTGGCATTGTGAGACAGTGGGAAGACAAGGGCTGGTTTTATTGTGTGTGTGTGTGTGTGTGTGTGTGTACTGTACCGTGAAATGTTGTACCTTTTTCATTATGAAGACCAAATGTAGTCACAACAACACAAGAATGCAGAAGGGTCCTAGAACCAAGGATAAACTGAACTGCTGGTCCTTAGTCCTAATGTTGGTTTGAAGACTTGGGTTTTGGGTTAAGGTTCAGGTTAAGGCTATGGCTAAGATAAAATTTATGTCAGGTCAAGATAATTATTTACTGACAGAAAATCACACACAAAGGATGCAATTTAGCACTCTGGCACCCTGGGCTTTGCGATATGACAACATCTATCGTTTATTTTGTTGTGTGACAAATTCCACACTTTATCGTAATATGTTGGTGAGGTTTGCACCACTAATATCCAACTTGAAACTAGCTTCACCGCGGTCCATTCTTCCACACGTGCCGATGTTGCAGGGAGGAAATTTGAATAAAAAATAATGGAGTGCCAGCCATGATGTGTGTGCCATCCAGGTAACATTAAATAACTTCCCCGTGGACATACAGCTTACTTTATAGTTCACCAACACATGCAGTTGTTGTGATGTTAGCTATAGTAGCAGGAAAGTTGTGAGGATTGCAGTCTGGAGCTGCTGTGCTGCTCTAGGAATTCTATTTTGGGATATTTATCATGAATTTTTTCATGAATCGCACAGCCCTACTAGCACTTCACCCTCTCTGTTACCAACACATTTTGTCGGGAATAGAAATCAAGTAACAATATATTTTTTTAATTAAAGTCCCCCTTCAGCCGGTTTTAACTGCCGTTTTTGGTTAACGTTCTTTCTCAAACAGAGAATGGGGGTGTGGTTAATAGTCGGACATAATACGTTACCAGGGCTCTCAAGTCTCACGCATTCACCGTGAGACACACGCATTTCAGCCAGTTCACACGCTCACACCCCACACCTTGTATTTCTCACGCTGAGAAGTAAGTTTAGAGATAACGTCCTCGAAGTTGTTAATTAATGGCATTAATGACATTTCTGTGCCGAGTTCATAGCCATCTCTGTAGCCTACTAAATGCCAGAGCCATTTAGCCGATCAGAAGTTAAAATGTGTTGTTTCCGGGTAAACTCCGTTTGTTACCAGGCAACGTGGATGTGCGTGCACCATGCCGTGCACACACGGATTGGAAGTTGAAAGCGCAAGACCCGATGAATGTGGTAACTGTAGTTTGTTTTTGTTTTTTTATCATTTTGATTTTACGATTCCTGAACAAAATCACTTGTCTGTGATCAACGATAGTGAGAGTGGCTGATGTTGGGGAGGACAGCCAAATGCGTTCTAAATTATTATGGATGCAGTCAAAACCTCTTCAACCTTTTTGCAACCTGCAGCTTAGGCTTTTTTATCCAGTGGCGAGCAAAGTAACTTAGGCCTATTCAGATCCTTTAAAAAATATTTATTTATAAATATTATTAAAAATATTTCACTGTAAAAATGCTCTGCAAGTACTGCATTGAAAAAGTTAAGTAAA